CCCCTTGTGGAGTGCCTAACTCCAATGCGCCATAAGCATTATTGATGTCTTGATACCACACTTTTGCTCTTCTCAAAGATAGATAATTGATAGATTTTGAAACCCAAAGACAGATGGATGGATCATGTCTTTGATCTGGTGGAGTGAATGAGTTAGGAGAATTCTTACACAGGTTTTAGACAGACAGGACGTCAAAGAAATTGGTCTATATTCATCAGGCCGTCCTGGTTTTGGAAAGGGAATGATGGTTGCCCATTTCCAAGGGGTAGGCAAGATGCCTGCCATGCAAAGTTGAAAACATCAAGAAGAGAATTTCTTCCCTTTACCTGTCTTAAGTGATTTCCTCATCCCCAGGAGCAGTGGATTTGCTAGTCTTAATGGCTGCAAGTTCCTCCCTTGCAAATGGTGCATCTGATAGTTTTTATGCCTTAACGTAAGGGAGCACCTGCGTATTGACAATGGAAGACTATCAAGAGAAGAATCCCCACACCATTTATTGAGGAGAGATGAGGTTACCCTTTCTGGATGTGAGTGGTATGTTAGACTGCATGTACTGCCTTTAATCTTGCTGATTTCCTTCCATACATCACTCATGGTTGTTATGGAGTCATTGATTCTGCCCAGGCATAAAATCTTTCCTCCCATTTTCGTGTTATTTTCTCATTGATATTTTTACTAAAAAACAAGATCTCTAGCTAAGTGTCGTCGCTGACTTACTGTAGATCGTATGAGCCTCCTAAGAAGTTTTATTTCAGGGTCTTTATTCAGTTGTTGTGCACGTCTACCTCTGGAGGATAAAGATCCGTGCTTGGCAGGGCTTTTGGACTGTATTTGAGTAATGATATTGCCAACTTGGTAGGAGTAAAGTCTTCATACCAGCAGGCAATTCTTTCAATGAATTCTTCATGATATTTAGTAGCAAAGGCGTGGCTGGGGTAGGGTTCTTTTGCAGTAAGGGAGGGTTATAATTAATGCCCAGTGATCACTAACTACAAATGGGATGACTTTTGCAGTACTTGGTAGTGTGTGCTGATTGTATAGTGATATATAGTTCAATTCCCCTCCCAATTAATGAGTTTTTTCGAAGGGGCATAATAAGTGTATGGGATCATTAGTATTTTGGAGATAGTCATAATAAATTTTACCGCTTTTGCCAATGGTATTTCCTTCGGAGCCTAGGAAAGGATGACGAGCATTAAAATCCCACATAATAAGACAGTAGAAGTATGTATCATGCAGTCAGGAGGTTTAGGTACTACCTCACTATCCTGTGGATTATATACATCAATGATGGTAATAGATTTACCATCTAGTAATATTTTAATACTAAGATATTCAACACAGGAGTTGTCACGATTGTCATCAATCACTTTCGATGGAATTGAGTTCTATATGCAAATGCCAAGCCCTCTTGTAGAGGGCTTGGCATAGGCAATATGGTAATAGGGCGATAGTTATTGACTTCGTCTGTGTCTCCGGATTTGAAAATTGGTGTTTCCAAAGCGATGGGAAATCACCAGTGACTAGAGATTAATTACCGTTAGATAGTAAGCTATTGCAGGTAGACTGTCTCTAATAAAGCAAAAAGCAATGCCATCTGCTCCCATAGCATTTGTTTGACGCAGGTGTTTTATTGTTAAGATTACTGTTTCTATTTTTGCAGGTTGTGGTCTGAAAGTATTTTCGAGTGGCCTTATCCTACCTGCCTTTTTCTAAGGTCTGGAAGTGTTTATTTGTATGTGAGATGTCCAATTTTAGCGAAAAAGTCGTTAAATTCATTTGCACTAATATTGGTGTTTAGATGATCTCTGTTATATTTTTGGTTTGGTACAAGTGACAGCTAGTGATGTACAAGTATACTGTCTCAGGCCGATCTGCTACTATTAAGGGCTTTGGTGCTTGTCGTTCCTCTCTTGATTTCCTCCTTTGTTTCTTTGAAACGACTGTGATGAAGCCTTCATCTTCAGCATCATCTGTTCTCTCTATGTGGTTGTTTATCACAACCGTCGACACTACTGGACCTGGGGGTAGAGCTGGGGGTGCAGTGGGAGGGGGGACTCCTGGCATCTGGTGATGAGTTGCATCACTCCACTGGCGATTTAGATTGATTGATTTTGTTTTTTTTTGTTTTTTTGTTTTTTTTTGCTTTTTTCTAGAGCTTCGTTTATGCGTTGCTTGTGTGCCTGTTTCGCTTCGCTTGTTGGCTGGTGGGCTGTTCAAGGACTGTTTAGATGTTGTGGTCCTCGGGGAGGCTGGCGAGTCAGCAAGGGCGTACGCCTGCTCGCTCGCTGCGGGCGGGGAGAGAGGGGAGGTGGGCGGGAGGGGAAGGGAGCTGGGAGGGTCACTGGTCAGGGATACAGCAGGCAGGGAGAGTGTGGAGGGGGATTCCTGGGTGGATGTAAAGGGCAATCTGATGGGGGGAGGAGAAAGGGAAAGATTGGTAGGAGGATTGGTCAAGGGCGGGGGGAGGGGAAGTTGGGTTCGGATGGGAGTTGGTGGGGAGGGGGGAGCGGGTCTGGTGTGCCGTCTGCTGCCTCTTCGCATTTCTGATCCTGCTTTATCATCTTGTTTAGTGTTGCCTGTTGTTCGGAGAACATTCCGATTAACAAATCAATTTTGTTTTCTGTAAGATTTTCTTGGTGTGTCTGTGTTTCTTGTTTTTTAGGCTTTAGGAAGAATTTGACAAAAGGAGTGGAAATACCTGCTTTTTTTGGTGGCGTCCAGTCCGGTGTTGGGATGTTTTTTGTTGTTAACATCAGCTTTTCATAGTTCACACAGTTGTCTATCATGGTGTGCACAGTGATATTATCATCTTAGTGTCCCTTGTCGTGTTTTTTTTGTTGTTGTCTGGAGTCTATTATGATTATGATATCGTGGGCCTTTTCGATCTCTTCCGGTCCAAAGAGTTTTTTGACCTGATCACGGATAATCAGTCTAGCCATGGGAGTGGGCGGTGGGGGGGGGTAGCCTCTGACGTTGTGGGGCCACGAGTTGCCATGGTTTGCTGAGTTGTTTGGTTGAGGGGAGAGGACCGAAAACACGTCCGATGACCACGGCGGCTAGACTCAATTCTGCATCTTTCGTCCTTTGATCATTTTCATGTTAACGTTGCTCTGTAAATCTGGAGTTGAAGTCGGTCCACGTTAATGCAAAATGGGGTGATAATTGACGACACAAATATTATAGAATCACACATATGCATGCATGTATAAATACATCCTATAACGAATCTATTAGAATCCTATTTAAACTATTCTGTTATCATTATTTGTATTATTTTTCATTATTTTCATTTTTTTATATTATTTTTTAATTGTCATTCTTCAGGGCAAGTACAATACATTGAAATAGAAAGGGGGGAGGAAGAAAGGAAGGGAACGGGGAAAGGGGGGAGGAAAAGGGGCTTTAAGAGAAGAGGGAGACGGAGAAGGGGAAACGGAGGGGACTTAAAGCGGAAGGGGGGATACGAAAGGGGAAGCTGGAAGGTGCTTAGAGAATGCTACCATGCCATGTGCGATGTCCTCTAGAGACCTTCGATTTATTATTTTACTAAAGACAAACAGTTCCATATTTCTCATTCGTAATGCACGAGTGATCTGTATTTTTTGTCTATTAGCATATGAATAATGCTCTAATTCCAATCTGTTATAAAAAGAACGACTTGATATATATATATATATATATATATATATATATATATATATATATATATATATATATATATATATATATATATATGTATATATATATGTATATATATATATATGTATATATATATGTATGTATGTATATATATATATATATATATATATATATATATATATATATATATATATATATACATACATACATACATACATACATACATACATACATACATATATATATATATACATATGCATATACACAAACCGAAAAGTTTATATTTTCACGCTTCTCTGTTATGATAATTCCACCAATTGATGCAAAAAATATCTTATTTCTAAGATTCTAAAGCTAAAATCATCATAATATGACTATTCCTGAAGTGATCCACTCTGCCTCTTGCAGTGGTCTCTCGCAACGAAGCCTGGGCGGGGTAGCGATGCCAAAGAGCCATTGGGGCCTTGACACTCTCGTCCAAGTCCCAGTGGCTCGCAAACGGTGCCGTTACCTCCGGCAAAGTTGCGTTTTACCACTACTACCTCTACCTCACTCGTCTTCAGTTATGTGAAGTTGAAGGAAAAAAAATATTTCTGAATTCTTAAAAGCATTTCATATTAAGAAATCATTCTAAAGAAATAGAGAATCTGAACATTTGATCAGAAATATTTTTTATGTATTCCTTTTCTACATCTGTCGCAGTGAATACGGTTCATACTTAACTAATTATAGGCTTAAGTGGGAATATAATCAAGTCTACTAACTTCAAAGTCAGTTCTTTTCAAGACGAATATACTATTAAAGTAAAATAACTTCATAAATAGCCGTAATATAGTTTGATAAATATGTTGTATGCCCTCAATCTGGACTTGGAGACAAATCAGGGCTTATTCAACGTTTTCAACTTTGATTTAATGTGTTGTTGCTTCTACAGATGTGTTAACCCAATGGCGCCGGGGAAAATGAACAAAAAATGGGGAAAATGCTGTGCCCACTTTCTATTTTCGTGATATGTCTGCCAATAGATGGCTCTGCTAGCGCCTGATTTGAAATGGCGGGAAAAACATATTTTTCACTAGTGCTATGAAAATCGGTGGTGTTATTTTTATCATAAACATAATTATTTCGTAAATCAAAGAAACGGGTAAACGGGCGAGACGGGCGGTGCTCGTAGTTGGCTCATTGGGGAGTTAGTACAAGTGTTGCCATCTATGCGTAAAAACAATCAAACAAGTACTCACTGTGGGCATAGCACGTACATACACGTCATACCCGGCATCAATGGGTTTAACGACGTCCATTAAAGGGATACATTGTACACCAGAAAATGAGAAGTTCTATTTTCTATTTTTCTACAG